ACTCACTCACTCACTCACTCACTCACTCACTCACTCACTCACTCACTCACTCACTCACTCACACTCTTATTGACTGTTCATAACACTGCAGGCAGTGTGTCATCACCAAGCTGCCAAGCCACAATTTCTTCTTGTACTACAGTCTTTTCTCCCCTCCACTACTGTTTTTTTCCCCATTTTTTAAATTCAAGATGATGCATATCATTTGCTTGTTGGGACTTGATTTTGAGGCTAAAGTGAAACTGAGGGCTAAACTACAGTTAGAATTAAAAAGTGGCAGCTACTTTTCACCCATCTCTGAAATGTCAAACGATAATTTGAGCTTTGTCAGTTCAGTGCATGGACTCATTCACACTTAAGTGTGCCTTCAGGCAAAATAAATGCTAATACATTGGTGAACCAGTGCAACAATTCAACATGTTGTTTGTAAAAATGTCATTTATACCTTCTGCTCTTTCCAGATAGTCTTTTACAAGTGTTTATCCTCTGAGTTCGTCATTTCATGCAGCATCACAGGCAAGGATCACAGCTGAATTTTATCTTGTCTGATTTTTAGAGTGACCTATAAAACATCCTGCCCATTAAGTGTCTCTTGTAACTTGCTGAAAAAAGAGATTGTGTGTTTGTTTATGGGTGAGGCTCTACTTCCTTTTCCCTCTTTTTCTAATTTTACCCTCTTAGAAGCATGGCTGAACATTAAGGCTGATTAGTGAAACATCAGCTCTGATGAGAAGATAGTACAAGTCATATAGTTACTACTACCATACACAATATAATTTCTACTTATTTTTAACAACATAGAAGGCTGATTTAATTACAGTGTTAGTACTTTTAGAAGAGACCTTTGATAGATGTGGGAGCAGAATAATGGGTGTTAGAAACATCATGAGAATGGGAGGCAGCGTGGAAAGGGGTTAGCAAGATTTAAAGGAGGTGAGAGGGGTTTAGTTGGCAGTAGGTTAATGTGGGGTTGTAACAGGAGGTGATGAGGCCATTTTCAGTCACGTGACTGACAGGCAGCCCACTATCACCTCAGTAACGAGAAGCGCAGCAGACTCTTATCCAATCATGTCAGGAATGCTGGCTGTCACTAGACTAGGGCTATTTCTGCTGTCTGTCGCTAGTGCTTGGTCAAACCGTACCAGGATCTTCTTTTTGTTTGTTTATTTTCTGTCATCTTTAGCTTCCTCTGCCTTTCTTGGAAAATGTAGTTTTAAGTTGTCTTCTTTTTTGGGGTTATTTTTTTTGCGGTGAGTCGTTTATTTTTCCCTCTGTAAAGTTTAGTGTGGGAAGGAAAGTTGTGGAAAAGACTTGAAGAGGAGGGGGGAGGTAGAGGTGGGAGAAATAAGGGATCAGTCATCTAGCCAGCCAAAGGAGAGGTGGGCGACACAAGAAGAGGAGTGAAACAACAGCCAGCCAGAGAGTGAGAGTGAACTGGAGCTATAGGACTGGAGGCAAAAATGGCTCAACGTCTGCGTTTGTACTTTGGATCTGGCCGCAGTAACACAGCCCCGGAGATACTAGAGACAGACGCTGAGGAGCAGCAGGAACACAGTGAGGTAGCTGGAGCACGTTGCATGCACCCACCTCCATTGTTGAGGCCTTCTCAGGAGTCAGCTGCGCAACACGTCCCGTCAACCACTTTTGGTTTGCGCCCAGACACTTCGCTTAAACGCAGCTCTTCCATGTTCATACCCCAGCTCGCCACCTACCCGGAGTCACGTCCCACTAAGAGCTCGTCTATGCACATCTCCCTCCAGCGGTCTAACGGATTAAGTAATAGAGAATCTGGTGGCCATGTTGACGATGTCCCACCACCTTGTTATACTCCTCCAGGACCTGCGCCTGCTTATATGGAACCACGTATTCAAGCAGACTTTCCACTGCAGCCGCCTCCTCCATACTACAGCTCAGATTCTTTAAACTCATCATCTTTTCTGACGGAACCAAACCTCCCGAAACGCAGAGTCTTTAGTATTGGTTCTAATGGCCATGCTGCATTCAGAGGAGGTCATCCTGGCGTCAGTGTTGGCGCCATCTGTATTAGGAGGAATTCTCTTGATGGTTCTGACACCCAGCGTTTCAGGGTTCTTCCTTATGGTGGAGATGTTCAATCTATCCCACAGCAGATCCTGAGCCCATGCTTTGGCATTAACAGTGCAACGCAGAGGCTAGTTTTTCAGCTTCAGCAAAAACAAAACCAGGACCTGATAGAAGACGGACAAGAATCTCCTCAACCTCAGGAGGAATACATAAATTTGAACCCTGGTAGCATGAGATGTGTCCGTGAAGTGCGTTACCCAAGAATCCGACTGCAAAGAAGCTCTTCCCACCAGAGGCTGTTGCTGGAGAATAAACACCAGAAGAATGGGGCAGACTTTCAGGCCATACAAGAAAATCAAACCGATGCAGAGCTTGAAGCAAAAAACGGCTCTAATTGTTGTACTTTTAAAATCAGCGGAGAAAGCCCCAGAAGGCAGCCACATTTCAAGATACGTTTTACCCAGTGTGGAGGTGGCGATCAGGATGTGAGTGCTGGCAGTGAGTTGACAACAAATAATTCCAAGGTAAAGACAATAACAAAGTTTTGTGAAACAGTTTTCTCTCTCTGAAACAGTTTTTCTTCTGCTTTTTTTTTCTTTGTGAAGGCACTTGAGGAGATTTGAATGGTACTGGAAAAGTGTGGTAACATTCTGGGAAATGAAAGTACAGGCACATTTGCTGAACTAAATCACCCTCGCACTGGCTTTCTTTCTCTTCATAACCACAGGCATTTCAAGTTTCACACACATCAGCCAATTCACTTATGAAAGAAAAACAGGAACAGGCATTTGGGTGAAAGGATAATTTGTCCCTCTGCACTTGTTGGGTTCTGTGTCACAGAAATGTGACACTTAAATTTTGATAATACCCACAACTGCAGTCAGCGCTCTTTAAGAGTTAGCTGCTTCTATCTTTAGTCTCTTTCAGGCATGACTGTTGATTTTAGGAGCAAGCACATCCTTACTTCTCTGGTTCTAGTCTGGTATGGAAATGTAAATTTGCAGCTGCTCTAGAAGTGATTAAAGATTAAAGATGAAATTACAGCCTAAGTAATGAGCAACAAGTTTCAAGCAATATCAGTATTTCCATAGATCTCATAGTTGTTTCGTTTGGACTGTTGTTCATTTTGTTGAATGTCATATTTATTTTGGGCTTTTAATGGTTGATGAAAATTGTTTTTTTATTTAATCTGAAATTATTAAACAGCATATGATTTCAATTATTTTGATTGTAGATTTTTTTTCAACAAAGGGTTAAAATTATACATACATAGAGGCTCAAGTTGTACACATATTCCCTCACTAAAATTTTTGACAAATGTTCTTTAGAAAGTTGCACCTCGACCACATGGTTATGTAGCCACCAACAAGCATTTTGGCATAATTTGTCTTGAATATTTGTCAAATCTTCTTGGCAGCATGGGTAGAGTAATTTAAATTGATTGGTTTCCTGGCATTGAATCAGCTTTTATATATTAATCCACAATAATTTTTCAAACTTATGGAAACCTGGAGTTTTCATTTGTAGATATTTACTGAGTTCCTTGAACTTTCCAATTGGTCTGAATATTGATCAGTCCAATGAGATTGGCAAAGTGATACTACCAGCCTCAGTCAATTGTGCTCAATAACAATAACCTCATAGGCCCTGGCCTTGTTAAATAAGCACATTCTAAAACCTTTAGCACGACTTATTTTGGTAAATGTGTGTATTTATTTGAGTCTCTATGTAAAATTTTGACCTTGTGTGGATTGGAGAAAATGAATCCCGTGCTCCTAGTTACTGTTTTTAAAAATCGTTGAGTATGTATGTGTAAAAATTTCACCTTGGGTAAAATGACAAATCAATCATTAAAAGTCCAGAATTAATATGATTTTCAAGCCCATGATGAGTGTACTTCTGACAAAAACTGTAAGCAGAGCTCAAGTTATTAAGAATAACAATCTCTAAAGGTTTAAGTTTACAGTCATTGTGTATATACTGTATATATAACTCATTTTTTCTTTTTATATGTTTTTATGTTTTTAATTTGTTAAATGTTTATAATTTGGATATCCTGAAGTTTTTTTGTGTTTGTTTTTCAGTTTTGAGCTGAGCTGAAAAAAAATTTCTATGTTAATGCAGTCGTTATGGCTTTTGTTGCCAGTATTATAGCTACTGCCATTTCTAGTAGTTGGTCAAAAACTGTGTTTTTAGAAGGGAATGTCTAAAACAATAGCTATTGACATTTGTTTTGGTGCATTGCTCACATAGCACATATTGTACATTCAGTCCCATATCCAGATGGAATTTCTTTTAAATTTCAGGTAATTTTTAAATGTTATTTGCTTTAGATCAATTATTCTTGCCTTCTTAACTGTAAGACTAGACAATTGATTCTAAATATAAAAGACTAAAATAAGCAACTGTGCTTCAAACAGTTAGTACAAAAAAACATTGACATTCATCATTGGTGTTCACCAAAGTCCATTACAAGATGTGCTGTATTTCTGCAAAGAAAACTCCAGCTGAGGCAGGTGAAGCAATCGTTTTCCTTTGAACTTTAAAGACAAATCTTCTCCAGCTTGTAACCTGTAGCTGGAGTGCCCCTTAAAAGCCCAAGCATCAAATAACAATAGCATGCACTTGTTTGTTTGTTCCAGACCAACCAGCTTCAGATGGTTACGTCAGAGAGCCATAAGCTCATCACAGCCCTGCCTTGACATCCAGCAGAAGTTTTTGTCAAACAAACCCTGGAGGCCACATTGGACGGCTATAATTATTTGAGGCAGAGACAGTTGGGAGGGGGATTTGGGGTAGGGGGTTCTCCTTTTTTATTTTTGTCTTGTGACATGTGGCAGAGATTCAAATTAGCATTGTTATGAGGGGTTTTTCTCTGTCAACTCTGCTCTGCCCGAGTTGGATGCCATTGTAATTTAGTTACAATGGCATCCAACTCTGCTCAACTGAGACTGTTGAGTAGAGCCCTTTGACACCTCAGTGCCATTCTGGACTTCCAGGTTGACTTGTCATCAATCGTCGCCTCTACTTTTAACTTCATTTCTGTTTTGAGAACAAATACATTTTCCTCACATCCAGACATGATTATTGTAGTTTTAAAGCATCATACTGTGACCATTCGGGTATGGATTAGGAATATCTGCTTTTTCCCTGCGCTATTTTCTACACACGCACATTACGAGTAAGATCTTTGGATCCTTTAAACTGTGTGATGAGAACCTTTTAGTTAGACTTTACACATTAGAATGGTATTTGAGGAGTGTAGATTGACAAACCTCAGTGTCTTTTTTTTAAGCAGGTTTTACTGTCCTTCCAGTTATGGTGGTAAACAGACTGGTTGGTGTTTTATCTTTTAGCTTTTTTTTTAAGATGACCATCCCAAACAGGTTTTTCTGTGTCCCTTCTGCTTCTCTTGTTCATAGCTAACCCCCACTGGGTGAAACCTGTTCCTGGAAGGCAGCTGTAGACTCAGATGTGACCCTTTAACAAATTTGTAATTTTACCCCTCCGCACACAAATTACTACTGTTTGAAATTGTTGTTGTGGTTAATCAAGTGAAAATGACAGACTTATCTGCCATAGAATGTCTCCCAGGTTGCTTGCTCATTTCCTAATTATTTTTTCACAAGTTTGAAGTTTGACATTTCTTTATGTATTTCAGTCATGAATTGAAATATGAGTATAAAACAGCAAGTCATCCAATAC